AGCTCAGTGGCGGTGATCCTATCCTCGATGTTCTTCACCTGTCACCACGGTCTGTCTCCAAGACATCCTCATCTCCAACAGAAACTCTGGACCGCTTAGTTGACAGTGTCCTTCTGCTCTGCTCGCGCCCATGAGAGTGGAAGCGTGCAGTGGAGTCGTATTCCTTTTGTGCCTGGCGTCTCTCACTACCGTGATATCTGCAAGCTTCATCATGTGGTCCGAACGTCACACCTGTTTATGGCTGAATAGCATTGCCTCATACATTCAGACCACGTTCTGCTGATCCTTCGGCGACCACCGGGGTCCCTCCCGTCTCTTGGCACTGTGAACAGTGTGCTGTGGACATAGGTGTACACGTTTGTGTTCAACTCTGTTTTCAGTTCCTTAAGATGCACCCCCAAAAGTGAAGTTGCTGAAGTACATGGCAGTTTAGCTTTCTGAAGAGCCACCGTCCTGGTCACCACAGCCTTCACGTGGCTTCACGTGTGCTGGGGGACGTGGAATGCAGTGCGGGGTTCCCCATGCCTCTGTATCCTTGCTGGTGCTTGTTTTCCTTTTTCAGAATAACTATTGTTGTTGTGTTGTCACCTTCCTAGTGGGTGCGAAGTACCACCCTCTTGTGGCCTGGTTTGGCATTTCCTGGACAACTAATGACGGTGACTCTTCATTGTGCTTGTTAGCCGTTAATGGCGTCTCTTCTTTGGAGAAATACCTGTTTTAATGCATTACCCATCTCTTTAAGCTAGCTTGTGTTTCACTGCTCAGTAATAAAAGTAAGGAGAGTCAGGTACCACTTTAAACATTTGAGTCTTTTTTTTGGCGGAACCCAGCATTGAACTCAGGCCCTTGTGCTTGGCAGGGAAGTGCTTATTCTACTGAGCCATCTCCCTGGCCTGAGACCTCTTTTAAGAATTATGGTTCAAACAGAACCTCTTTACTAGGATTTTTTTTTTCCTGGCTCAGGTGGCCTTAAGGGCGGGTCCGGTAAGGCATGGGGAGCTGGGGATCGAACCATGGTCCCCTTCACCTGACTGGGTTTGCCCCAACAGGCACTTAAACAACTGAGCTAACCCACAAGCCCCTGAACCTCTTTACTAGACTGAAACACCATTTAGGTGTGGAAAAGGGAAAGGTGTTAGCAATTCTATAAGGCCCCCCTTGGGACTCTATAGTATTCTCTTCCTTGTTTGCATGCAGATATTACAGTTCCTGAGTCCTTTCTGTTTTCTGTATTTCATTGTGCTTATGAGATTGTGGGTTTTATAAAGAAAATGCAGAGAAATTCTTAGTGAACTATCGTGTTATACCAGCTTCTGGGCTCTGCTTACTTTTAACTCTCAGGTGTGGTAGTCGCCCCATCTTACGCAGAGCTCCAGGTCACAGAAGCATAGGCCACGCAGGGGCTCGGGCTGCGCAGGGGCTCAGGC